CTCTTAGTTAATTTAAAATTAAAAAAAGATTGGTTATTAAGAGTGTCTCCAATAACTAGAATTAATTTATTAAAAATTGATAAGAGTTATCTTTCCATCAATGATCGATCCTACGAATTAAAACTGATATTATTTCTTTGACTGACATTTATTCATAATTGATTCTTACTTTATTTAATTTGTTGAATTATTTTATGCTAATTTCAGTTTAATTGATTTTTATTTTATTTTATCTACTAATTTAAATTATACTGATTTATTATAATTAATTATTTATTTAATTTTAAATTAAAACAAAAACTTTCCTCTTTTTATTTTTATTTTATTGCTGGCTATAAAAGAATATTAGATTTTAATTCTCTGTGGATTCGACCATATCCACTACTACTATAATTTAATTTATTGTTGGAATATGAATTTGTTTTTGGTGGATTGGCACTCATCAAAATTTGAAGGGTATTTTGTATTTTGGGTAGTTATTTTTATTGCATTCTCTTTTCTCTATAATACTTATCACTGTTCATTTTGACTTTGCTTAATCTTTCTCACACCATAAATACATTTTCAACAACTTTTAGCTCTAACTTTCACAACTATCTTAATTATTTTTAAAACAACTCAAATGTGATATTTCGAAAATCAAATTGCAATTACAACCATCTTCTATGATTGTAACTTGTTTTTCATCTTTTCACATATGAATAGTTATTTTTTATTATGTTAAAAATGACTTGTTTGGGGATTGCTCATTAAAAATTGATTTTTTTTTTATTATTGAGTGAATGTCAATGCTTAGGAAGAACTCTACTACAATTTGTCATGATTTATGTGTCTAGAATTTTATGATTTATGTCTAGGATTGTTAAAAATAAAAAAAAAAAGAGAAAAAGAAAAAGATAGCACAAATAATAGTCTACTCTACTAGTTAAATAACTATGAGCAATGTTAGTAGCCAGTTGAAATTATGACTAGTTGAGTAATCAAGTGCATTTATCACAAAATGTTTGTTCTCGCGTCAAAAAGTTAGTGACATTTCAAGCAAGCAATAAAAGTGCTCAAGTTAGTTATAAACAAATTTTTTATTTTTAGCATGAACTAAATTCATGAAATCTTTATATCTGGACATATTTGGTAGTTGTTCTGCTACATATTGATTGTTCTTCTCAATGAAAATAATTATGTGTTAAAATTTGCAAGACTCTCTCGTGTTATATTTGGATATTAGTCAAAGTGATTATTTATTTGTGTGATTATATGAAACTCTATCATATGAACCACTAGTTGATGGTTGTTTTTTCAATTTGAAAATCAAGATGTAATAGATTGAGTGGTGATGGAATTGTGAGGAATAGATGGGCTAAAAGTAAAAAGTTGAGAGTTGGTGATTTGTAATGTGCGGTGCTCGGGGGCAAGTACAAGATAAATGTGGGGCGGATTTAATAGTGTGCATCTGTCAATTTTTTTCCTTAGCTTGGTGGCATAATTAGATCAATTACTACATAACAGAAAGAATTTTGTTGAATTCTAATGCAAGTATAAATATAGGAGCCAATTCCGAAAAAGCCCTAGGTGAGTTGATTTTCGCACAAGGAAGTTCATTCGTACACGATTAAGCCTTGGGTAAGGCTTGCACCCCAGCGGCGGTAACATATATTAATTTTTTTGTGGGGCTATTTTAAACTCGAAAACCCTATCTTTATCTGAAAATAGGATACAAAGTCAAAAAGACAATTTTTAAAAAGAGAAAGAGAAGGCCGAAATCAAGAGATAAAAATCTTATCTTCACATGACTTCACCCTTTAAATAGGGCTGGCTTAGAGAGAAGAGGGAAGAGGAGAGAACGAGAAGCGAGGAGCAGCACAGGTAGATTTTTATTTTCTCAATTTTTTAATAAATTTCTTCAGCTAGCTTTAAACAATTGCTGGTGTTCTAAACTCAATATGAGCAGCTACAAACTCTAATTTTCAGTTGAAGATTTAATTGCAGTTTCAATTTCAGAGCTATGTGATCGAAGTGCTTTATCTTTGTTTTTTTTTTGTTTTCAATATTTATAATTTTTTCTGTGCATACAAAAATTATTATTTATTATTTGTTATAACAGGGCATGTTGTGCACCTATTATAATAGTATATCGCGAGTTAGAATTCATGAATCTGTAATTGTCTATGTTATTCTGATAACTAGTGGTAAATTACTGTTCACACTAAGAAAATATATAATTTAATCTGAATGAACCTGGTTGAGTTTGTTGGTTAGAATTAGATCGTTCTAGTACTTAATATTGTTAGTGAATTAAACTCTACGAATGTTTCCATGGTTGTTCATTAGTGAGAGTTAATCAACAAACAGTCTCTTGATTGATTTAAAATTAAGGAAAGATTAGTTATTAGGAGCATCTCCAATAACTAGAATCAATTTACTAAAAATTGGTAAGAGTTATCTTTGCATCAATGATCGATCTGATGTATTAAAATTGATATTGTTTCTTTGACTAAAATTTATTCATAATTAATTCTTACTTCGTCTTTGACTAGAATTTATTCATAATTGATTCTTACTTCATTTAATCTGCTGAATTATTTTATACTAATTTTAGTTTAATTGATTTTTATTTTATTCTATTTGTTGATTTAAATTCTGTTGATTCATTTTAATTAATTAATTATTTAATTTTTACTCAAAACAAAAAACCCCCCTCTTTTAATTTTTGTTTTATTATTGACCGTAGAAGAATATTAGATTTCAATTCCCTGTGGATTCAACCTTTTTCACTGTTCTATAATTTAATTTATTGTTAGAATATGAATTTATTTTTAATGGATTCGACACCCATAAAAGATACATCACAATTTTTTTTGCAAAACAAACTTAAATTGACAAGGATAACTAGTGATATATGTTCGTCTAACGAAGCAATTTCTCATAGTAAATTATAACTATATATATTCTATTTGCTATTTAAGAAAAAAATCAAGGATGACATTTTTGTGAATTAACAAAACAAAACTAAGAAAATAAATAGATTACAGAAGTCTAGAAACAAATACTTGAAAACTAACAATGTGGCCTGAAGACAAGCCATTTTACATTGGAAATCTAATAAATCAAACTCAATAAAAATTCACCCAATTGTCCACTTTACAAATTTGTATAACCGTGATGGGCTTCAGTCCCCTTGCTTCCCTCTCCCTTAATGTATATATTTATGTATTCTATTTTACATATATATATATTAAGGAAAAATAGATTTTCATTATCCACTTTTTACCCAAATGATTTAAACTACACACACACTTTAACACTCACATCCAACCCTAAACCATTTTAAAGCATAAATATTAAGTTTTAAAATTTTTAAGATGGGAACCAAACTTAACCCTAAGTTTAAAAAAAAAAACAAATAACACATGGTGAAAACCCTACAAAATCAAATCAAGGTATGCATCCCAAAGTAGACTGGCTTCCAATAAAACCCTAAAGTTTTAATCTCACTCTCCTCAAAACTAATTAAAAATAAGAAAACCCTAAAAATTAATTTAACCCCATTCAGTTTAAACAGATTGAGGATAAATCATAAAGACTGGAAACAATGACCTGTTCACTTAATACGAATTGGAAATAAGTATACACCCTAAAAGTAAGGTGGTTTTTTCAAACTATATCGTGCGACTAGAGGGCTTCTTCGCCCATTTCCAACGAGGATTCAAAGGACCAAAGCCTAAATTTCAACAAGTGATAAAACAATAAAAATAAAGAATGGGTTAAAACATTAAAAAAAAGATAAAACAAGAGAATCTGGGATTAGAACACTACGTTGTTCTTACCCTCAGATCTCGGGTTCTACAGGTTAGACCTATAATAATGATGGACTCTCTTCATTGTGACCTGCACACACACACACAACTAATTAGGGTTTTCCTTGTCAAAACTAAAAGGGTGATAAACCTTTAAATAGGGAAAATTCGTACATTGAAATGAGGCACCATTCGTTCATGGTAGTGTTCGGGCCACCGAAGGGTTCTTAGTCAGACCCTTCTTTTGCCTTTCGCCTTTAGATTCTCAGATTTCTCTTCACTCTTTGATGTGATCCCAAGAGGCTCAAGTTTAGTTCCAAATATGGAATCTCATATCAAGGAATCTTGCAA